CTGCTTATCTGAATTCTCAGACTGCATCTGGACCATATTATCAGGCTCCTCATAGAAATGTCATCATTTAAGCATGATTCAATGGGATATATGCCCTTTGCTTTTTTTTTTCCTTTTTGAAAGAACTTGTTTGTATAAATGAAGACCCTGATATTTTGAAAGATCCTAAGATGTTAAATTGAGATTTTCACTAATAGATTGCTAGTATGGCCTGGTATAGTATAGCATGGCATGTCTATGGGTCAAAAGAATAACATTCCGTAATCTTCGGCAATACTACAGATGTGTGCATATAGTAATAACTGGGGAAACCAAGTTTCAGTACTTTTTACAAAATACTCAGGGCTCTCTGGTATCAGTTCAGAGTACAAGAGGGTGCTGTTGAGCTAACTGAAAAATACTAGTTTGTCTTTGCAGAGCAACGTTAACCAAATGCATACATAGTGGAATTGTTTTCTATATTATATTGCTTCTAAAGACTATCATTTAATTATCATAGTTTCCCAAGTTAAAAATAGAAAAGTAGAACTACAGTACTCTTACGAAGCTGTGATGGTACATTCTGAGGAAGATGAACAGATAGTGAAGGCTCTAAACCATACTGTTTCAGGAATGGCTAAAGGAACAGAGGGATGGTTAACTAGAAGAGGTGTGGAATCATATAATGGTCTTCCAAATATGTAAATGGGAAAAAGATTAACTTTATAGTGGAGAAGCCTAGCAGATAATACCTCAATCAAATTATCAAATGAAAGTGAGGGCAATCTGCCTGTGACATGTCGCCCCACTGATCGCCAGGGTTGATTCAGCTGATCTGGCTGCCTAGGGGGGTGTCCCCTTTCCCCCTCACCACTCCATGTGTGTCCCTCCTGAAGCTGTGTGCCCTGTCGAAAAGGACAACTTTCCCTGAGAGAGGAGGAGACCATTCTTCAGTAAAGAGTTCTCTGTCCAAAAAAAATTTCATATACACACAGGAACTTCACTTTACACAGATATTGCTACAAAGCATTTTTCTTTGGAAGAGAAGCTAGACTAGATGATGTAAATGTCCTGTTTGACTTTGAGGGACTAGTATGTCATGGTGATACTTCTTTTAAATAGCCCTCTGCTTTGAATCCTGAATAACCACTGTCCTAGAATAATAATTAAAGACCTCCCAGGCACTGCTCCCTTTTTCAGAACCTGCTATTGTCTTGAATAATACTAAAGCCTTAGCTTCTGCAATAAAGATTTTTAAAAGTTTCTTTTTACTTTTTTTACTTATTTATGTTTAGAGAAGGGAAGGGGGAAGGAGAGAGATAAAAACATCAATGTGAGAAAGAAACATCAATTGGCTGCCTCTGATACATGCCCTGACAGGGACCTGGCCTGCAACCCAGGCATGTGCCCTCACTGGGAATTGAACCCCCAACCCTTTGCTTTGCGGTACTAAACACCCAACCCACTGAGCCACACCAGCCAGGGCTTCAATAAAGATTATTAACCTGCCAGAGTATCCAGGGACTTTAGGAAATCTCCTTCTTTACCTAAGAGAATTACTTATCAATCAATGCCTATCTCAAAGGTCCCCTATACTGTGAAATTCACCCCAGGTTCCCCAAGTAAAATTAGTGCCATCCTTCTGTTTTCATACCACTTTGCATGAAAGCACTGCTACTTCTGAAGGCAGGACTGGTTGATTCTATTATATATTTTTAACTTCTAAAATATATTTTTCCTTAAAGATGGGTGCAGCCCTGATTGGTGTGGCTCAGTGGGTTGGGCATCGTCCTGCAAACCGAAAAGTTGCAGGTTCGATTCCTGATCAGGACACATGCCTGGAATGTGGGCCAGGTCCCCAGGTGGGGCATGCAAGAGGCAACTGATTGATGTTTCTCTCTCACATCAATGTATCTCTGCCTCTCTTTCTCCCTACCTTCCCCTCTCTCTAAAAGTAAATAAATAAAGTAAAAACAGTTTGGTACTGGCATAAGAATAGACACATAGATCAATGGACAGAATAAAGAATCTAGAAATAAATCCAGGTCTCTACAATTAATTAATATTTGACAAAGGGGGCACAAGCATACAGTGGAGTAAAAATAGTCCCTTCAATAAATGGTGTTGGGAGAAGTGGACTGGTATATGCAAAAAAAAAAAAAAAGAAAAAGAAAAGAAAAGAAAAAAAAAAAAAGAAACCAGATCACCAACTTACACCATATACCAGAATAAACTAAAAATAGATAAAAGACTTAAATATAAGTCATGACACCATAAAAGTCCTAGAGGAAAACATAGGCAGGAAAATTTCAGATACACCATGTAACAATATTTTTGCAGATATATCTACTAGGGCAGGGGAAACAAAGGAAAAAATAGACAAACGGGACTACATCAAACTAAAAAGCTTCTGCACAGATAAAGAAACCACCATCAAAATGAAAAGGGAACCAACTGTATAGGAAAACATAATTAGCCAATGATACACTGGACAACGGTTTGATCTCCAAAATATATAAAGTACTCACACAACTCAACACCAGGAAGACAAACAATACATTTAAAAAACGGACAAAGGACCTGAACAGACACTTCTCTTAGGAGGACGTACACAGGGCCCAGAGACATATGAAAGGATTCTCAGCATCAGTAGTCATGAGAGAGATGCAAATTAAAACCACAATGAGATATCACCTGACACTTGTCAGAATGGCCATCATTAATAAATCAACAAACAAGTGCTGGCGAGGCTGTGGGGAAAAGGGAACCCTGGCGCACTGTTGGTGGGAATGCAGACTGGTGCAGCCACTGTGGAGAACAGCATGGAATTTCCTTAAAAAACTAAAAATGACCCTGGCTGGTATGACCAGTGGATTTGAGCACCATCCTGCAAACTGAAAGGCTGTCGGTTTGATTCCCATTCAGGGCACATGCCTGGGTTGCAGGCCAGGTGTCCAGTTGATGGAGTATGAGAGGCAACCAATGTATGTTTCCCTCTCTTTCCCCTCTTTCTAAAAATAAATAAATAAATAAATAAATAAAACCTTCAAAAAGCACTAAAAATGGAACTGCCTTTTGACTCAGCAATCCCACTGCTGGGAATATACCCCAAGAATCCCGAGCCACCAATTCAAAAGAACCTATGCACCCAAATTTTCATAGCGGCGCTATTTACAATAGCCAAGTGTTGGAAGCAACCTAAGTGCCCATCCGTAAATGAGTGCATTAAAAAACTGTGGTACATTTACACAATGGAATACTACACAGCAAAAAGGAGCTCCTACCCTTCTCGAAGGCATGGATGGGACTGGAGGGCATTATGCTAAGTGAAAACAAGCCAGGTGGTGAAAGACAAATACCATATGATCTCACCTATAAAAGGAATCTAATGAACAAAACAAACTAACAAGACAAATAGAACCACAGGCATGGAAATATGGAGCAGACTGACAGTGACCAGAGGGGAAGTGGGAAGGGACTAAACAAAGAACATGTATGAATGACCCACGGACATGGACAACAGTGCGGGAATTGACCGTGGGAACAGGGGGGAGGTAGGATGGGTGAAGGAGGGCAGAGGAGGAAAAACTGGGACAACTATAATAGAATAACAATAAAAATGATTAAAATGACAATTAAAAAATCTTTTAAAAAATGGGTGCAAAAAGTTTAAAATTTTTTATGCATCAAAAATTATGTATGTGGTCATCTACTGCTATTCCTACCCCTGAACTTTGCATTCCTCCAGGGCCTGGAAGCTGTATTATTTATTTCTAAATGCTTCCACAGGTCTTGCAGTGCATGAGCCTCAAGAAGGTTGGCACACATCAAAGAGCTTAGAATCTAATGAGGTCCCAGGACAAACAAAAATACAATAAACAGAAGTCAAAGAGAAGCAGAACCACAGAAAGCAAACAGAGTACAAAACTAGTTTCAAGGGTATAGATACTTTCCCAAATTATGTTGCACTAGTTCCTAGGCTGTGAGCTTTTTGAAGGCAGGATTTATGTTTTCATCCATTCCTGTATTTGCAACATCCAAGCACAATGCCTGACACATATTGTATGCTCAAGAACCGTGGGAAGAGTGAAATAATCTCACCTTTAAATATGCCTTTTATGAGTGGTGCTACTGCTGTATTGAAGACTTCTTCCTGTTCAGTAGAGGGGTCAAACACAAAATCGTAGGTGAAGGATTTGTCATTGCCAACCACCACCTAGAGAAGGCAAGGGACAAAGAGTAAGAAAATGAAAGGCCAGACCACGCCCCTCACTGTCATTTGGCCTCCGGTTTTCAGACGCCGGCCCCGCACTCCGCTACGCACCTGCGGTTCCCCGGGTACGAAGGAAAGGCACATCTGGCAGCCCTCACTAATCTCTTTGGGGACAAGAGGGCGACATCGCAGTGCCACTTTTACAGGAATTCCCTTCACTTCTTCCTTCATGATCCTACCTCAGCACCGTCTGTCAGGGGAAAAAAAAGAAAATAGGCTTGCTGATGAATCTTGGTGTGTTGGCAGGGGTGGGAGGGCGCCCACCTTTAGTTCCGGCCCTCCGCTGGAGGTGGGAGATGATTTATGGAACTCAAGCGTAGGTGAGGCAGCCTTCTCCTCGCAACGGGATCGCTGCCGCTGGAGTCACACTCCCTCCCATTTGGCCACCACAGGACTGACCCCGCAGCCCGACACTCTTTAAGACAGCGAAGTGGCCTCTGAAATGGAAAGGAAAATCCCCAGCGGAGACGACAAGGACCCACAGCCCCAGGGTACCGGGAAAGGCAAATCCTGGGCTAAGTTGTGTCCCCTTAGCTCGCCAAACTAAACGTACCTTCCCCGGTCTCCCGCAGCCCCGTTCCAACTGGAGAGCTAACCGCCAAGTTTCAAATTGGTCGTGGAGGCGCCAGCCAATCGGAGCGCAGACAACCGGCGGGAGCAGCACACACGTCGGCGTGCGGTGAAGGACGCTTTTGGGAAGTTGTGGGCCTGCGCGCCGCACCGTGATCCCGCCCCTTCCGGCCATTTACAGCATCTGCTTCCGGTTCTCGGGCTGAATCGGTAGCGAGGGGAACCTGAGCGGGCTGAGGCTTGTTGGCGGGTGAGATAGCACGGCAGTTACCGCTTCAGATGCACGGGGCTGAGGCAGGATGCGGGGAATGTATTCGAAGGTGGCTAGTGGTGAAGGAAGGGTCGATCTGGGGACCTCCACCATTACCGATCAGATCTACGAATGTGGGGCGGTGCCTTGCCTCGAGTCCCTGTGCATAGTTTGAGTCAGCACTCGCTTAGATTTCGAAAATAGATCTTTTTAGACGCGGCCTTGCTTGCCTCTTCTGTAGGCTGAAGACAATAGCATGTATTTTGCAGGAGTTCTATAAGAAAGATTGTCTCTCTAGAGGACCTAGCAGGTTGTTTGGCATCCAGATATCCAGCAAAGTTCATTGTTTTCTTCCATCCTTTTTCTTCCTTCTTTCCACCAATCTACTGCCTAGAAGTGGGCTAGGACCATAGGCTGATGGCCTTGGATGGGTCAGACTTGTTTTTCAAAACTTGCTGGTCTGCTGTCCCTTTTGAACCATTTTTAGCAGCTTTGATTCACCCTTCCATTCCAGGGCCTTGCCAGAAATGGACAGCCGGATTCCTTATGACGACTACCCAGTGGTTTTCCTGCCTGCCTATGAGAATCCCCCAGCATGGATTCCTCCTCATGAGGTGGGAGCCATCTGTACTCTTGAATAGTAGATTTTTCCCCATGGGCATAAAATGATAGATGAAACGTAGCATAGCAGGGTTAGAAAGCTCAAGGGAGAATGAATCTTAGCCTGTGTTGTAGCCAAGGGACCCAGAAGTTGGATTCTGAGCAGCTGGGCCCATTGGACGCTTCTTATGGAATCCTTCTGCCAGAGTCCATTCACATCACAGAATTCTGGAAATTCAGAGCCCCAGTTTCCATTCTATCAAGGTAAAGAAGTGGGGGGCTACTGGACTACTAGCATTTCCCAAAGCTATCCATCTACCCATTTGGACAGAGTTATCTGGTCTGTTTGAACTAAGTCCATGACTTTACCTTTTCCTGACTTCGGGGTGATATGTTTGTGTTCCAGATGAAAGTGGGCATAAAGTCTAAAACTGCTAGTAAGATTTATGGGCTTGCTGTGTCTTGCAGAGGGTGTACCACCCAGACTACAACAATGAGTTGACCCAGTTTCTGCCCCGAACTGTCACATTGAAGAAACCCCCTGGAGCTCAGGTGAGCTTATGGAACGATTATAATGAATCTTATTCCAGGTTAGATTTGACCACACCAGGCCCAGAACTTACCCGTGGTTAGGAGGACAGATTTAGAAGCAGGTAAGAAGGTGAGGAAACTACCTTTATTGGGCAGAAAAGCTGAGATACCACTTCTACAACTTCTGGCTTCTCTCTGAGGGACACGTATCTTTGCTATCATACAGTGGTGCCACTAGATGTTCTTGTGTTTGTGGTCTATATTGAGACTTCCATTCTGTGCTCTTGTCTTGCAGTTGGGATTTAACATCCGAGGAGGAAAGGCCTCCCAGCTAGGCATCTTCATCTCCAAGGTGCGTGCACCTGGTAGGCAACATGTATAACTACTTCCCTTTGTTATCATATTGCAGAACTATGTCTTCCCAAGGCTTGGGAGAAGGATGATTTAGTAGACTTTTAGAAGGGACATAATAGGGACACTGTTTCCCACTTAAACCTTCCCACCTGGGTCCTGACTGGTGTGGCTTAGTTGGTTGGGCATTGTCCCACAAAGCTAAAAGTCGCCAGTTCGATTTCCTGTCAGGTCACATGCCTGGGTTATGGGTTCAGGTCCTGGTCGGAGCATGTGCAAGAGGCAACCAATCAATGTTTCTCTCGCACACTGATGTTTGTCTCCCTCCCTTCCCCTCTCTCTAAAAATAAATAAATAAGATCTTTTTTTAAAAAAACAAGAAAATACTACCTGGAAAGCATCTGTTTTCCCTACATTTTCTCTCTCTCTCTCTCTCTCTCTCTCTCTCTCTCTCTCTCACACACACACACACACACACACACACACACACAATAGCACCTTACATTTGAATAGCACTTAATTTCACTTACAGTCTTTGAAAATACCCACCTCAATCTCATATTCTCTCCTTACCAACAGGTGATCCCTGACTCTGATGCACATCGAGCTGGACTTCAGGAAGGGGACCAAGTCCTGGCTGTAAACGATGTGGATTTTCAAGACATTGAGCATAGCAAGGTGAGCACAGCGCTTGGGCTGTGGTGAGGCAAGAAGCAATCCCAGATAGGACAGGCTGGACAGGATTCGCTGCGTCTGCACGTAACTTGATAAGAAAGAACCTCTCCTGAGGAAGTATACCAGAGGCAAGCAGCTATTCATGATCCAGAAGGTTGGAATAGCCAAGGACTTTCCTGTTACGATCTTGTCCTGGGTCATATCTCATTTGTACAAGTTGTTGTGTTCCTTTCAGGCTGTGGAGATCCTGAAGACAGCCCGGGAAATCAGCATGCGTGTCCGCTTCTTTCCCTACAGTAAGTGCCCCTTACCCAGAAGGGCCCTAAATGGGAATTTAAGTCCTGATTACTAGTGGCCCCATAAGTTGGTGGGGCGGGGAGGGGAGGAATGGATTGGGAGTTCAGGCCTGAAAATAACCTGCTTTTTCTTCCTTTTCTTTCTTTTCCCCAGACTATCGTCGCCAAAAAGAGAGGACTGTACACTAGAGAGTTGCAACCCACAGCCCTCCATATGGAATCTTCTAGGATAAGCTGGCCAGGCCTCAGGGACACCACATACACTCTCACACAGTCTCATACACTTTGGAGACTCCAGTGGGACCCTGTTTTTCCTCCTCTCCCTCCTATTCTCCGAAAAGTAAAATGTGATGCTGGAGAAATGTTGGTGCGACTTTTGAATGATACTGAGTGTAAAATGCTTATGAGGCAAATATAAAAGCTCTTCCGAAGAGGAGCCACTGGAAGTAACAGAGCAACGCTATACCTGCTTCACAGTTATCTGTCTGCCCAGAACATCGGGGAGGCCCGGGAACCTTAGCTACAGCGTAGCTGAGGGATGGTTTGGGGTGGAGGGTACTGGAGGAATTTTCCCCCATGGTCTCCGAACATGTCTCTACAGGGTACGGTATTAATATAGTTCTGCCTTCTCCTTTCCCTGATTCTTTGATCTGGAACATAAACTAAGGGAAAACCTTAGATGCATTTCTTTTCAGGGACAGCAGTAATAAATTGGTTCCCAATTTCCAAGTTGTAGGCTGAGTAGTACTGACAGCTAACGTCCCCCTTTCCTTCACCTCAGCCCCCAAATAACCTGCCGGGTTCTGAGTTCCTTACAATCCATTGTTAGAGATTCTAGGCCACAGTGTATACCATGCTCAAAATACCCATTCAGAATAGCCAGCTTTTCTAGTGAGATACGGGATGAAGGGCCCCCACGATGAAAGTCCTAAATTTGTCTTGAAAGAATCCTGGGAAGCTTAAAGCTTAAATATTTCCAGGCCCTTCCCATGGAGAGATTGTGTTAGTCTGAGGTGGAGCCTGGAAATCTGAAGTTTTAAATAAGGTAAATTAGTCTTCAAATACGGAAAACCATTCTAAATAGTAATATATCTCTGTGAGGAAGTTCTGGCTCTTCCTAGAAATCCAATCCCAGCTCTATTGTGGAACCTCTTCAAGCGGCTTGGGTTGTTGCAACACCCTCGGGAGCTGAGCAGGAGGTGCTTCCTGGGCAATTCCCCGTTGCTCTGCTGCCCCCCAGTGGCCATCTAAGAAAGAAACGCTTGCACATGGGCATATCGGGTGAATCGACTCAATGTTGAGGTCCAAGCCTCTCCCTGTGATTAACAACTCATCTAAGGGTAGTAAACTGTAAAAAGCCCCAGAGAGGTACCAAGGGCCTAAGGGGCAAAACCCCTCCTGCCCTAAATTGGTTCTCTACGGTACTCGGAGCACGAGATGATGCGATTACATTGTGGAAGTATTTGGGATAGTGTGCAGGAGGCACAAGCAGTAACAGGCTGAGGCAGAAAGGACCAGTTGTTTATTGAGAGTGTAGATAAGAAAACAGTGGAGAATGAACTGTTATCAGCCTTTGAGGTATTCCAGGTGCTGTAGAACTGCATCCCCGAAAGGTGTCTCCGTCGTCAGAGAACTTAAGGTGGGATTCTTGGGCCCTGCAAGAACTCTCCACCCATAGCTATGAGATGCAGTCACGGAAGAAATGATGGCCCTTCCTGGGGTTCCATTTTACACCTAAGCCCAGAATTGGACCAGAGCTTATTTAAACCATAAACTTGAGGTTGGGGCGGGGGGCAGGGAAGACTTGTACCGGAAAACCAAAATGCAATAAATTGATCAAATTAGGCAACCAGCACTGACTGGTGTGGCTTACTGGGTTGGGCGTTGCCCCTCAAGCTGAAAGGTCACCAGTTTGATTCCCAGTCAGGGCATGTGCCTGGGTTGTAGGCCAGGTGCCCAGCTGGGGCACACGCTAGAGGCAACCAATCAATGTTTCTCTTGCACATTGATGTTTCCCTCTTTCTCCGGTCCCCTCTAAAAAATCAATAAAATCTGTCTTAAAAAATTAAGCAGCCTAAGTTATCAACAGGCACAATGGCTTTTGATGCCTGAGTCATCGAAGGGCTCCACATGGATTTTAACCACTGAAGTGTGTTAAGGTAATAGAGGGGTGACGGGGGTCACATCTCAACTCCCAGGGGCAGCTTCCAGGAGACACAGAAGAGGAATTCTGAATCTATGATCCCTTTCACCTACAGGTGAACCAGGGAGCTACTTTGGACCGAAGTTAGTCCCTTGTCTCTTAAATATCAGCCGGGGAGAAAAATTGGCCTGGCCATCAATTCAGCATGGGAAGCTTGCCTTCTCTGCTTGTATACTCGCTACCCCAGCAAAGCTAGAAGAAAGGATACTCTTCCTTCAGTGGAGATGAATCACTCCTGGAAGGAAGGTCAGAAGCCATGCACAGGAATAGCCGTGTATGTTGGGGGGGGGGGCAGGCGGTGAGAATGGGGGTGGAGGGAGAGAATGGTGAGGCACAAAAGGAAAAAAAAAAGGAGGTCAGGTTCAGAAACAGGATTCTGGGCCTTTTCTCTGCATGGTGGGGACATGAACCTTACCCCCACCCCACAATAGGACAAGCCAAGGTTATCCAAAAGAGTAAGCAGTGGTGGGTGGCCAGAGGTAGGGGTGCCATGGAATTATCATATAAAGAACAGTTATTTTTCACATTGCACCTGGTTTTGGTACTGGTTTTGGTACTGGTTTCAACAAACATCACAATGAGGTCTCTGGGTTTTCCTTCCCTCTCTTCTGCAGAGACTTGTCTGGACAAATGAGAAATTATGTAAAGGGCCAGAGGGTGGTAAGACCCCTTCTGACCCAGAGTTAGTGGATAGGAATAGATCCTTCTGAGATATAATGATGTCTCCCTAGGACCAGGAACCCCAGAAGCCTTGAACCCACGACCTTTCTGATTGCTGACACTGGTATCTCCTCCCAAGTAAATAGAGCACAGTAGACCCTCCCCACAGAGACTGATCTCTAAGTACAGCAGAAAAAGTTGTAGTTACACCTTACCTTTTGTGTGGATCGATCTTGTTACCCACCAGCACGATGACCACATCATCTCCTCTTTCTGTCTGAACGTCTTCTACCCACTCATGTCTCTTTAAAGAAATTGACATGTTCAAGGGACTGTGCCATGGAGCGTTGAAACATTTAGTGCAGGTTTGGAGAAAATCAAGTACCTGTCCTTCCTGTCTACTATTCCTACCAAGCTCCCTATTGCTTACCTCAATCCCTGTTTGAAATAGCACCCTCTTGTGATGTCATAGACAACACCAGCAATAATTGAATCATAATGTAGCTAGGAACTAGGCTGTGGAAGCGCTCCTGGCCAGCTGTGTCCCATAGCTGGGGTTGAACCTGCATAAAACAAAGTGGACAAAAGTAGACAAGCAACTAGCCTTTGAAAGGCTAGAACTTAATAAAGACAAAGAGCCAAGGAACCTGGGTCCCCAAAAAGTGGTTATTATGGCCACAAACCAAGTGGCTTACCATCCTAGGATAGGTCCAGTGTCAATATACTGTTTCGCTTAAGGAAGACCCTATAGAGCAGCAGATTTAAGGATTCAAGGCATCTTGGATTTTGTCTGTGTTATAGTTGGAGTCTAGATGAGGACAGAGAGAACAAGAAGCAGGACAGGGTGTGTAATTTGGGGAGGCTTCATGCTTTTCTTCCCCTTCCTTATCCACAAATAGTCCAGGGTGGTATCGCATATGCCTAAGGGGTTGAGGTATAAGGTTAGTGATATGAGAATGAACACACGCTATTCAGCCCTCCAAGTACATTGTCTTAGACAAGGAATCAATTCCAGTGGTTGCCTGCAAATGAGAGACACTGCTCTGTTCGTCTCCTCTACCCCCAATACCAGGCAGCCTTAGAACTGTAAGTGGAGAATGGCCCTTGAGAATGTGGTCTTGCCCAACTTGTCAACACTTACAATAGATAACTTGGAGGAGGAGGAGAAGCCCTGGGTGAGCAGAGCTGGAAAGGGGGCAAAATACACAGCATGAGCCTTGGTGGTCGGCTCAGCAGGCCAGTGCAGCTGAAGCTCTGGATCGTGCCTTGGGTGGTGGTTGATGTCTTCCCCACTGTGAGGCAGATAAGTAAGCTGTTTGTCAGGCTGGGCGAGGAGGAAATTAATTCTCCAGAGAACCCTGCCATACCTCCTTATCCCTAAACCCAACCCAGACGCCCCACGGCCCTGCTGCCCCAGGAACGGGAGTTTGGATTTACACAGAAACCAATGCCGAGGTCCCTGGATGGTTTCCAGGCCCAAATCTCCGTCTTCGCTGTGGGCCCGCAATGGGCCCGCAATGGGCCCGCCGTGGGTGAAGGCGTACATTGCGGCTAGCTGCCTGAAGTCACACGGTGCTCTCCGTCCGAGCGCTCTTCAAACCACCTTCGCACTGTCCCTGGGCCTGGGCGCGCAGCCCTGCCCATGGACCGGCAGCTGCAGCGGGTCCCTCCTCTGAGGCCGTGGGTGATGGCTGGGGAGGGGGCGCCAAGATGGCCAGCGCCCGGAAGGAAAGTTGAAGGACTCACAGAGGACTGGCGGCGTGCCAGAAGGAAGTGGCCGGTCATTTACGGGGAAAGCACCTGCTACAGGGTGATCCAACTACTGACGGGGAAGGGGGCGCTCGTTCTCGGTAGTTCCAAACCCCTTCTGGAGGAGAAAATACCAAAGAGATCGCCAGCCACGTGTGGACGAGCTGATTTATTAGAGCATTACAGTGGGGCTCCCACGCTAGCGCCGGAGCCAGGTGCTTGGCTCCCCTCGTCCCCTTCCGCCGCCGCCTCCGGCGCTCCTCCTCGCCGGGCTCCTGCGGAGGAAACTCCCCGAGCCGCAGAGGGGCGTTCAGGGTTAGGAAGCAGTTTCTGGGCATCCTCCACATTCCCTCCTTTTCCTGATCCCAGAGAAGCGATCCCTTCACTGCCTCCCAGCTCAGATCCTCGGCCCTGTCTACGTAGCTCCCACACCCACCCACCCACCCATCCACCACACGCGATTGTTTCCCTTCACTCGCCCCCTCCCTGGTCTCCCAACACAAAAGTCTGCCTTGGGCACTGGAGGGGAAATAAGAATCGGGGAGGGATGGAAGGAAGGGATCGAAGAATGAAAGACCGAGGAAAGGGCGAGAGGGCGACGGGAATGGACGAGATGGGGAGGGCGATTCCTGGAAGGAGTGGGGATGCAGAAGCGGAAAGGAGGGCGGCTGCAAAGCAGTGAACGATAGCACGAAGCTAAACCACAAGTTTTCACTAGGAACGTATTGAAAGCAATACTCCAGGAAGCTTTTTTTTTTTTTTTTTTTTTTTTTTTTTTTAACATTTTCACCGTAGTAAAATGGAGGATGGCAGTGGGGAAAGGGGAATGGGACTTCCTGGAGCTGACATTTCCTTACAGCAAGCAAGGAGAGGGACAGAAAAATGAAGCTCTTCAGTTTCTGAAGAAATATTTTGTTCCTCTTCCTCCTTTCTTTTTAACCCTCTCCCTCCCACAACACACACGCGAACGCGCGCGTGCGCCCACGCACACTACTCCCCTACATACCCAACCTCCCTATTCCTATTCCATCTCAACCCAAACTGCTAGTCCCTGATCCATGAGATCACAACTGCTTGGTTCCCAACTGGAAGGCCCACCGTTCCTGAGAGTCCCACCTGGTCACTGTGACATGGCTTTGGATGCATCAGGATCAGGGGCAGCTCCACACCAACATCACTGCAAGGATCCCGAGGCAGAGTTACAGATTTCCCTCCAAGTCCACTCCCTGAACCTCTCTCCCTCAGTTTCCCCACCCTGGGATGGCCTCAGAGTCCCTGTCACTCTTTTGGTCTCCTTATCTCCTCATCCGCCCCTCTTGCCCCCATCCCGGCTCCACACAGTCTCTTACCTGGCTGGCAGGTTGCCCAAGATGCTGAGGGTAGAATGACACTATAAAATTAGCAGCTGGCAATGGAAAGTGGCAATCTAATTTTACTGGGGTTGAAGCCAAGTTAGCCGCAGAATGCATTTCTGGAAGGGAAGGTGGTTTGCTCACGGAGCTCACAGGGAATGCAATCTGGGAGAAGAGTGGGGAACAGCTTGACTGGATCAGAGCAACGGGGAGGGAAACAGAAGGGAGAGACCCGCAGCTCGCCAGCCCCTGCTCAGATGGACCCTGAACCCTCACTCAGCCTCCACTGGACACCATCAGACTGACTCTGACTTTGTAGGACACCAGGATCCAGGTTGAAGACTGGAGGTGATAGTATTCATTGTGCATTTGTTGGGGGGGGGGCGCAGGGGTCTGTGAGGGGGGGCAGTAATTCATCTAATCCCCCAGTCCTTTCCTGTGCCCTTTTGCCTTCCAATAGGTTTCCCAGTCTCTACTCTATCCTCCTCATTGGGACATTTCTGTTCCTAAAATCCAATTGTACCATGTTACCTTCTGCTCCAGATCCTACTTCTCTGACTGTAACTACACTGCTCGGCTTTCACAGCTGTTAATGATCTTGCCCCTCCCGGCCTCTCAAACTTTTTCTGCCCTAACTCCCTAACACCTGGGATACAACCTAAATGGACCCATCCTCTCTCTGTGCCCAAAACGTGCCATGCAGATTCCCAGCTTCTAGCCTTTGCTCATGCTATGCTCCCAATCTGGAATGCTCTTTTCTTCCAGATTCTACACCTTCTTTATGATCTAGCTCATTCTATCTCCTCTAGGAAAACTTCTCCAGCTATGCTGGCTTCTTTGAACTTCTATTGGATTTATAATCCAAGCCACATGCAGCAACATTTAACTGTTACATTGCATTTGCATTCCTCTGTGTTCCCCATCTAGGCCATAAATTGACTGAAAGCAGAGATTGTCTTAAGCTTCTTTCTATTCTCCCACATGTAATGGTTGCTCAAGAAAAAACCTGCTGATTGAAAAAGAAGATACCGAAAGCTATATATTCTTAGGAAAGTCTCTTCATCACTCTGGGAGGCTGATCCTCTATAAAATAATGCTGTTTGGACAATTTCTAAGGGTCCTTCTAGCCACAATAGTCTATAGCTATGTAATTGATAAGGCTGGGGAAATTAATGCTTGTCTGGCAGATGGCTTTTTGTGGGACACACACCTAACACTAGGATCTCTGACATCACAGGGCCAAATGAATGACTTGATAGAATTTTATCAATTCCTATCATATCATTCTCCTTTTTTGTTCTCCTTTTCCTCCATTTCTCATTGCCCAGTCTTTCCTCCATTTCTGTCTTCCCCAGAGAGTAGGTACTGCAGAGACCACAGTATTAGAGCCACATGACATGTGCTGAAATCCCTTCCAGCTCTGCCACTTATTAGCTACAGCAGCTTGGACAAATTCCTTTGTCTCCTTCGGCCTCGGGGTCTTTAAGTATCAAATGGAACAAGAACAACGTTACAGCCTACTTCAGTGGTGTTCTTATAAAGAAAACGTAGTACACGCGTAAGACCTCTGTGGGCTGTGAAATATTATACAACATAAGAATTTTTTCTCTCTACTTTTTCCTTTCTTGCTGCCTATGACCTAAGCCTTCCATTGGTCCCATGGGCATTAATTATTTAGCTTACTCTTGGCCCTCGATTCTGGAGGGATCTCTGAACACTGCCTGGGGACATTAAAAAAAATAGGTAGGCTAGAAGCCTCACAATTGTATCTGTAGCATGCAGAACGGGTTGGAGATAAAATATGGAGGTTGGGCCCTGGCTGGTGTGGCTCAGTGGACTGAGTGCCAGCCTGCAAACCAAAGGGTCGCCGGTTCGATTCCCAGTCAGGGCACATGCCTGTGTTGTGGGCCAGGTCCCCAGTGGGGGGCATGTGAGAGGCAACCACACATTGATCTATCTCTCTCTCTTTCTCCCCCTACCATCCCGTCTCTCTAAAAATAAATAAATAAAATCTTTTTAAAAAAGGGAGTTTGGGAGTGACTTTTGAGCTTATACCGTCCTAGAGGCCAGATTGGTATCACCATACTTGAGTTTTCCATCCAGTGCCAAGCCCTGTTTTTCACAGTTGGCAACCAAGAGTGGAGTTAGCGTGAAGCTCTTGGAGAAGCTGGAGTTAGCAGCTATAGTCTCCCTTTGAAAGGAGAAGAAGAGAACTGAGGCTAGGCTTGGCCACTAAGTGTACTGCCTGCCATTCCCAAGAGGATCTTCCACAACTGCACGAGCCTACTGGAGTAACAAAGAGAGCTGGTGCGTCTGACTGTGGCGAGTGGGAACAATTTGCTCTGATGGGAAATCTTTATGTGCCCACCCTCTCTCACCATTTTGATGATCTTCTTGTGGGTATCCTCCCTCTAGTTCTCCTGGGAAGTCTTCCCTTTATCCATGTCAGCCCTCACTTTGACCTTTCTCAGTCCTGGGTCCTGACCCACTTCCTGCTTTCCCCAACCCTCTCCTCTGCCTCTAGCGCTCAGCCCTCTTCCCACTGCCTCACCCCATGGCTCTCTGACCCAAGCACCAGGCTCCAAATCATGTGAACTCTTGAATGAACACAGTCTTGCTGTACTTGTCTAGCAAATACAGGACAACGTCGGTGATCTGGTCAACTGAACAGGCAGAAAAAGCACATGACTATAATTAATCAGTCATCCTCGAGCCCCCCAACTCACTGCCCTCAGATGTGACCTTATACAATATGCATGATGCACTAAGATGTGCTCATGGACAAAGATAAGTAAATTACTATATGCCCGCATTAGCTGAATGCAGATTTGGGTAAGTGGGGCACAGTTTCGGCAAAAGATCTGTGGATTAGGGACTAGGGAGGACAGGAAAAGAAGCTCACCTGAGATCTTGATTATTTTTTTGATGACCTTGCTGATGCAGTTGTTGACAGAAACATTGACAGAGATGGGTTTGCCATGGTAGTGAACCCGAAGCCGGAGGAGAGAGGCCCATCGTAGGGTTGCGGGGAGAACATCAAAGTCAAGACCTAGGATTCTTGTTTCCTTAGCACTGGGGTCACCTGGCTTCCATCCCCGTCTACCCAGGTAGGAAATCAGCGAAGAAAAGGTATCAGAGGGGCTGTGGGGTAGGGGCAGAAAGTGGGGGTCACAAACCTCCCTCTCCATCTAGGCCTGGGGTTGTAGGGGCTGAGCTGATAGAAGAAAGTGGCAGATGGTCTGGGCCCAGGGGTACAAACTATACTTCCCGAATCATCAGCTGTACAGAGACTCCGAGTAGAGGCCAAGGAGTTAGCCGGAACCTCTCCTTTGGGACCGGCCGACCTTCCCCATGTAGACCCCATAGCCTGTCCTCGCTTGGGGTTGGGGGTGGAGGTGGACGAAGGCCTCCCTTAAAAAACTCCTTTAGATCCTCTATGTGGGTATCTAAACCATAGGTCAGCAAACTATGGCTCACTAGGCAAATCTGGCCCGCTGCCTGATATTTATGGCCCACAAGCTACGACCGGTTATTACACTTTTTAATGGTTGAAAAAAAATCAAAGAACAATAATATTGCATGACATGTGGAAATGATATAAAATTCAAATTTTACCATCCATAAATAAAGTTTTGTTGGAACACAGCTGCACTCATTCATTTTTGTGCTATCTATGGCTGCTTTTGCACTACAGTGGCAGAGTTGAGTAGTTGCAACAGAAACTAAGTGGCTTGCAAAGCCTAAATATTTATCTTCTGGCCCTTTATAGAAAAGTTTGCTGACCCTTGCCTTAGAACAAAGAGAAGACAGAGGGGAATCAGAACCAGGCATCTGAGTTCTATGTGGTAATGATGCTACAGGGGTTAGAAAATTTGCCCTGGCTGGTGTAGTTCAGTGGACTGAGCGCGGGCTGTGAAACAAAGGGTCGCTGGTTCAATTCCCAGTCAGGGCCCATGCCTGGGATGTAGGCCAGGTCCCCAGTAGGGGGCACGCAAGAGGCAACCACACATTGATGTTTCTCTCCCTCTCTTTCTCCTTTCCTTCCCCGTCTCTAAAATAAAATCTTAAAAAAAAAAAGAAAAGAAAAGAAATAGGGCTGTTTCTGTCCTGAGAGCAAGATCTGTTTCCTGGAACAGTTTAGAGGCAGTGATTTTGGAAAAGACCAAAGAATGCCTCTTGGGGATTTTGTCCTCCAGATTGTCAGCACAGAAACTTTTCACTTCAAAGTCAACCCCACAGGCCTGCAAAGGGCAAAGGCAGAGAACTGATTTCCTACACTGCACCTCCCTTCCCTATAGACTATGAGGAATGCCTGACCCTATCTCTTGGCTGTTCATTTCTTCAGTCTTGTCTGTCCATTTGTCACTGTATCACTCCTCCCAGCATTGACCATCTATCCATATTCAGAACCCAGACCTCGCCCTGACTAGTGTGGCTCAGTGGGTTGGGTGTCGTACCGCAAACCAAAAGATCACTGGTTGGATTCCCAGTCAGGGCACATGCCTGGGTTGTGGGCCAGCTCCCCAGTTGGGGGTGAGCGACAGGCAACCAATCGATGTTTCTCTGGCACATCAATGTTTCTCTCCCTTTTTCCCTCCCTTCCCCTCTATCTAACAATAAATAAAGAAAAAGTTAAAAAAGCAAAAAAGAACCCAGACCTCACCTTTTCTGTACCTTCAGGACCCGGTTGTAGTGTCATTGAACAGAGCAGGTTAACAACCATCCGGTGGATTAGAAGGTGGTGAGCAAACAAAAGATATAGGGACCCCTTTCCTCTATTCCTTAAGTTTCTCTCTTAATCTTCCCTGGAAACCTTGGGATCAGCACCTGCAGGGTAAAGGGGTAGGCATTGTCTCTCAGCTTGTGCAGCAGTCGCTCCTGCAAGACTATCAGCAGCCTCAGGGACTCATCTGGGACAACTTGCTGGACCTGTCCCTAGAGGTCTTTGTGGAACGTCAGACCAATCACATCCAATCATCATGGCCATAGCGAATGGCACATGTCAACACGACAAACGCTGCAGGCAAAGGAGGAAGAGAATGACTTGTCAGGCCTGAGGGGGAAAGGAGGTCTTAAACGGCTCATGGGAAGACACAGAGTGACAATGGGATATGATTGAAAAGTATAGCCATATAGAAAAGGACTGACACATTTGACTACAGTAAAATTTAAAAGTTCTTCACATTAAGAGTCTTCATAAACAATGGAACAAGCAAAAGCCCGGAAGAAAAAATATGCAAGACCTATAACAAACAAAAGTTTAGCATTTATACTATATAAAGAACTCCCACAAATCAATAATTTCCCTGGCAGGTGTGACTCAGTGGATTGAGTGCCAGCTTGCAAACTGAAGGCTGCTGGTTCGATTCCCAGTCAGCGCACAGGCCTGGGTTGTGGGCCGGGTGCCCAGCTGCAGGCATGTGAAAGGCAGCTAATTGATGTTTCTCTCCCTCTCTTCCCCTGTCTCTTCCCCTCTCTCTAAGAATAAATAAATAAAATCTTTTAAAAAAAGAACTCCCACAAATTAATAATAAAAATAAAATATCCCAATATAAAAGTGTGCAAAGAATATGGATAGTCTCTTCACAAAAGTGCAAAATGAAATGGCCAGTAAGATACAAAAACATGTCCAGTCTCATTAGTAATCAGATAAATGTAAATTAAAACCACAATGAGATCACAGTTCGTACCCATCAGATCATCAAACAATTTGAAGCCTGACAATACTAAGTGTTGGTAAAGATATGTAATAGGGGTTTATTACACCATGCTGGCAGGAGTGTTTGGCACTATTCAGTAAATCGAAACTGCTCAATAACCTAAGAAGAATTTAGAGGAATTCTTGCTCATGGTTGCAAGGAGGTACATAAGAGAATATCTATTGCATCAATGTTTGTCATAGCATAAAATTGGAAATAATTTAACTATCTGTCAATTGGAGAATGGGTAATAGAGTTGTGGTGTATTCATATAATGGAATACTAAACTGAGGTTAAAATAAATGTACTAGAACTGCACGTGTTACCATGGTTAAATCTCAAAACCTATTGAGTAAAAAAAGCTAGCTACAGAATGATATGCTTATAAAAGTTTGTGTTTATAAAGTTGAAAGGCGTGTAGAACAATACCAAAGTTTCTCACAGATCTAGAAACATAAAGTAGGAATATAGAAACATCATGGGAATAATAAACACCAAATATGGGATAGCAGGTAGAGGTGGGGTGGAGGTAGGGAGAGAAGGAGGAGCGAGAGAGGAAGGGGAATGGGATCAGAGACAACAGGCGGGAGACTTCAGTTTGTTTCTAAAGTGAGGAGGTGGGTACAAGGTATTCGTTATAGAATTATCTAGGGTCAGAATACCTGGGTTTGAATATGACTTGTACAAATCCCTCTAGTTCTCTGAGCCTCAGTTATTTCACCTGTCAACAACAGGAAGGCACTAAGAGTTCTATGTGTTATTTAGACTTCACAATATTCCTCTGAAGTATTATCTATACTTTACAGGTAGCGAAAATGACCTCAGAGTAGTCAAGTGACGGTCCAGGATTTCAACCCAGGCCTGTGCGACTCCAAAGTGCAGACTTTGTGCGTGTCCAACCTCAGTTCATAGGATGGTTGTGAGGAGTTGATGTATAAGAAATTCCTTTAGAATTTGTAAAGTAATTATACATATGGATGCTGCTGTTGCTGCCGCTGATGATGATGATCATGGGAATATTGGCAGAAATGGAACATTTGTAATTGAACTCATACTTAGGAGCTGGTCCCTAAGATTAGGGGCAAACAGAAAGTCACTTCATTGCACTAGTGGAGTGTGGGATGAGGTACAGAGGGACACCTGTCCAAAGACAAAGTAACACAGATTGAGCGAAGGAAGGCTGTAGAGGTGGGAAATCTTATCTCTATCAGGAGCCTTGACCCACAGAAAACTACCAACAGCCACACGCTAGTAGAAAAGCAACTTATTTTAGTATTTTTAAGAGATCAATATATTTATTGAACAGCCAGATTATCTGCTTTTAAAATTAAGAACAAGGAAAATGAATCTACATTCAAAAGATACAACAAAGACTGAAAGGAACGATAGGGGTAGTGTTTATAAACTGGGGCAATGGGCAGCCTCAGATGCTGCAGAAGGGAGAGTTCATTGGTACAACCATTTTGGAGGGCAATTTGGCAGTAGAAAGCCTAAAATATGTGTGAATGCCATTTGACCATTCATTCCTTTTCTAGGCATTTAATCTAAAGAAATAATTGGACAAGTATGAAAAGATATATACAAGCATGGGCTTTGCAGGTTTGTTTATAATAGCAAAATATATCCAACAATTGGCTAGACTGGCTAGATACATTATGGTACATGCATACAATATGGAACTAGGCAACTTAAAATTTATAGATTTTTATATACTGACAAAAGAAGACTAGAAAACATTATTTATAATATAGCATTTTAAATAAAATATAGCTATTTTGCACAGAAGTTATAAATAAATATGGACTAAAATATTACTAATAATTCTCTTTTCTCTGGGTGTTAGGATTATACTCTCGTCCTCCTTCATTTTGTACTTTCCAATCCTTCTACAATTAAGATAAACAGCAATGTTCAAAATTGACAACAAATAAAGTCCCTTTGGTTCTCAATTACAGCTGATGAAAATGGGAGAAGGGAGAGAGAAAGGACAAGAAAGAAGGGACAGAGGAAAGGAAAAGACAGAGAAGCAAAATATGTCCTAGCACAAAGGAAAGATGACTCTAAACTGCTTCAGACTCAGTAAGATCTTGCTCTGGCTGCTGTGGCTCAGTGGATTGAGTGCCAGCCTGCGAACTGAAAGGTCACGGGTTGGATTCCCAGTCAGGGCACATGCCAGGGTTGCGGGCCAGGTCCCCAGCTTGGGTATGCCAGAAGCAACCAATTGATGTATCTCTTGCACATCAATGTTTCCCTCTCTTTCTCCCTCCTTTCCTTCTTTCTAAAAATAAATAAATCTTAAAAAAAAAAAGAAATACACAATGTAAGTGGACAATAATATCAAACTCTACTAAGAGACATATAGATCAGACTAAAAGGAAAAAAATCTTCTTCCTGGATCAAGATGCATTTCTTAAACTGAAGATTTCTTTCTGTGGGTTATTCTGAAGATTTTGCAAAATTGTGAAAACAAATGATTTAGGCTTTAAAAATAAAGAGTAATTGAGAATCTTAAATAAGTTGGTTAACTTACTGGTTATACCCCAAAGTTTCTCTGATATTTGAAAGTGGCTGGACTGCTTTTCCATACTGCCTAATCTGAGAAGGCTATTTTATTCCATAATATCTAAAGATTACATCCAAACTAGTAGTCATCAATTTGTTTTGAGCCTTTTTCAAATCAACTCCAATTTTAAATTGAGTATGATCACAGAGTAAGGATTAAAAGGAAAAAAAAAAGCAGTGATAAAATATTTCAGTGTAATCTTGATCTTTAGTTACTGTGGCCAGAGTAATGTCTCTTGCTATTACTCACTGTGGTTATTGTCTTGTTTATTTCTTTGTCTGGGATTTTTAATTTTATTTATTAAAGGTTTTAAAAGGTTATTTACTTTTAGAGGGATGGGAAGGAAGGGAGAAAGAGAAGGAGAGAAACATCAATTGGTTGCTTCTCGCATGCCCCCAACTGGGGACCTGGCCCGCAACCGAGGCATGTGCCCTGACTGGGAATCAAACCGGCGACCTTTCTTTATTTTTGGCTCATACGTTGGTGCTCAATCCACTGAGCCACACCAGCCAGGGCAGTTGGGACTTTTCAAGTGGAAAAGATAAGGGGGTTTCTCTACACAAAAGGAGAGGTGGAAAGACATATACCAGAGGTTGCAAAATGGCAATTTCCCTAGAACACAGCCAGCCTAGGGAAAAATAGTTTTTTTATTTATCCAGGCCCTTAAAAGTCTTTTAATGAATTGCCAACATTTGAAAATCAGAAAATTTGCATAAAATGTGGATTTCTGGCATACTGAATCTTTCCACAGGCAGTCTAAGCCCACGTTCTGATCAGCAGCGAAGCAGGGGAACCACCAACAGTAATGGAGAAAATCAAAAAATCAGAAAATTAGAAACTGTTTCAATTTCAGCACCCACGTAAATGTTGTGTAATTGTGAAAAATAGCATTTGATGTATGCTTTAAGATATATATCTATTTTTAAATATTATTTGGAGAAGGGGCACCATAATCTTTTCAGATCTTATTCTAAGTTTCATAATCTAAAGACCTTATTCTGAGTTTCATTTCCAGTTCCTTGTTAACGATCAGAAAATTTGGTCCCACTGGGCTGGAATCCCCAGCTGTTAGCCCCTCCAGACAAAGCATTCTTAGACCCCATGACTGGTTGGTTTTTTTATACCCCCCTAGTCCATTTGCCCAGTCCACTCATTCAGATGACTTGTCTGGCATGCGTGGCATTCCAGTTTAAAGGCCCTTGACACAAAGACCAACAAGGATTTTTTACTTACTCTTTTGAACTTTTAAGTAATCGGGGTCAACCAGGACTATACCATCTGTAAAGAGAGGGAGCGATGGCAGGAAAAAAAATCTTAGACCATGAAGCAGAAGTCGACCCCTGAAATGGTTCCTCCCCTTTTCCCCTTTAATTGCCTTCTGCATGGTCCATTCTTGGCTTTCTTTCACTCCCTGGCTCCCCCTTCCCTTCTCCCCAGGCTCTTTCCCTTCCCTTTTTGGACTCACTGACTCCAGGGTTCCACCATGTCTGCATGGTCCACAAAGTCTCATTTCCCCAGGTGGATGGAAAGCTGTTGTGGAACAATCTCCCATGTTATTCGCATAATCATTTTTGAATGTAGTCACCGGAAGCCTTCAACTCAAACTCCCAAGACCTTGAAGGATATACCCACCTATCCCTTTTGCCCTCTCATTGGCTAGGGTTCTCTCACCTTCCCATCGGAGCAGGTCTTCTGAAACACCGTATGGGGAGAAAACCAGAAAGAGGATAGGAAGGAAGATTGGGAGAGAAGGGAAGAGGAGAGGGAGAGGAAAGAAAGGTTAGTGGAGAGAAAAGGAAATGCTCCTAGGATTAGAAGAGACCCGAGCAGCCTGAAAGGGTGCAAAGGCGGAGGGAACTCAGGTAGAGTTCAAGCCACAAGCTGGGGGAGGTTGGAAACCCCCCTGCCCCAAAGGAAAGTACTTGGATTTGGGTAGGGGACAAGTCCCAAGATCAGAGAATTAGAAGGAGCGCTCACTTACCTGGGAATGTTGGCCATGGAGGTGATATAGAGCCTTTTCTGGGAAGAGAGAAAGAAGGAAGAAGATTCAATCATTTGGCTCCTATTCTCCTTAGCAAACCCAGTGTAAGGTAACCTTCCCTCTTTAGATGGACACCTCTCAGCATGAAGTGCCTTTTCTATTCTCTCTCCTGCCAAAGGTACTTATTCAGCCATATTCTCACCCACCCTGTACATGGGGGGCAGGGAACCCTTCCTGTTTTTATTTTTTACAAATTGTTGGCTAACTATACTGTCCATCTTCAGAAAGCACTGGTTCTCCTGGAGTAGCTGGGCCACTCTTGGAAGCCTTCAGAGAGTAGAAACTTGTTTGTAAAGGGGCTGGAGACAGGCCTCCATCCAGAAGAGTGTGAGGGAAAATTGGACTGGCTGAGGCTGGACATCATCACCCAGCACACCGTAGGCTCCAAGACACGTTTGCTAGATACCCGAATGAATGAACAAATGAACAAACAGATCCTATCTGCTTTCGCTCCCACAATGGATGCTGAGCCTGAGTTCATGTCATGGTGGCCTTGTCCCCCAGCTAAGAAAGGAGAGGCGTGGGAGAAAAATGATCTGCATACCCATGCTCTTCGTTGTTGGTGTCAGACACCTCTATGGAGGTTGAAAACCTTTCTTGAACCTATTCGTCACTCTTACTGTCTCCAGATTGCTCCATCCTTATCTTCATCCATGTCCCAGGGGCTAGACCTTGGCGAAGAAGACCCTTAGAAGAAAGAAGGTATCTCTCCAGTGCTTCCCTTTGATGTGTATGAGGTCTGGCCCCAGGGGTGAGCTTCTGGGAGCTTCCAGCGTCTCCTGTGGGTCTCTCAGCCTGTGTGCCTACCAGCTGTGTCAGGAAAGGTGCCCCTCAACTGTCCCCTGATAATATTAAGGGAGATGCTAAGGGAAAGGGATGGGGGTCCTAGTATGGGCTAGAAATAGAGGACATTGGACTATCATTACCCGGAAAGAGAGCGGGATGAAGCTCACATCAAATCTCCAGCTCTGATTGCTATTCCTCTGTCCCCAGCCTCTTATGCCCAAGGTCCTCTGAGTGCTCAGATGGGTGGGGGTCGGAGGAGTAGAATAGGGTCCTGAGTGGGCGGAGGTGGTTACCATGAAATGCTGCTTTATAAATAGCTCAGGTGCCACAAGCTGGGAAAGCAGATTAGTAGCTAAAAGATTAGTGGCTAAAAGATTAGCAGGCTCTTCTTCCTGTTGGGACAGGGTAGGGGTAGGGGAAGCTGATAGGGCTAAAGGCAGGGGAGCTTGAGAAGGGGGAATATTAGGCTGTGGCCAGGGGAGGCTTTGAACCTGAAGACTGGGGTCAAAACGGAGTCAGAGGCCTTCAAGGAAAAACATGGGGAAGGATAGAAATAAGAGAGTTCAAAGTATCGCTATAAACCTCTGTGTTTCTGAAAAGAGCTTTGTGTCACCCTAGTCTTTCTCTGGCTCTGCTACAGGCCAAAGGTGTGGAAAAGAGTACCCCTTACACAGCCCCTCGCCCCCTTGGGACTTGAGACTCTGGTGTTTAGATGCACAGATTATCCCAGTTTCTGAGCATAGCAAGACTCAATCTCCTGTAAGAGGGAGCGGAGGTAGGGGAGTGGGGGGTGAGTGTATTGAGCTGTGTGTGTATGTGTATGTGAGCCTTGAACTTCTTTCCTTGTTGGAGAGAAGGTAACAAGGGATGCTTGGCCCTAGAGCAGGTTCTCCCAGCAGGCTGTTGCATGTGGAGGGAATAGGCAGTTGACATCAGCATCACCCCCACTTAGAGTAAACCCTCCACATCTCCCCCCACCCCAGGCCTGCACTTGATGTTCTCCAATCCCTGAAACTAATAACCTCTAAGCAGCTTCCCTTGCCTCATAGGACCGCTCATAGAATGAGAGCTATTTCTGTCCTACAGTCTCCAGGATCCCCATAATGGCAGCAAAGAAAGTAATCCGTACTTGACTGCCCCTTCCACAGGGCCCAGGTCCACGCTTTGTGGATATGGAGAATGTAGAGACAGAGCCTGGGGACCCAGGACCCTGGCTCACCTCCCAACTTCCCTTAGAGCTGGCTGGTCTTTAGTATCTATTCATAGAGGCAGCCTTCAACCCTCCACAACGGGGTGTTCTTACACAGCCGGCTGTGTTAGCTCCTGTTATTCCTTGCCAGTACGCACCCCAGAACCTTGTCTTTAGTTGCTGTAACTCTCTCCGTCTCAGGGATCTTCAGGTGAAGCTAGAAGCCCAGACTCTGAAGGGACCATAGTGTGATTAAAACTAACGCTGAGCATATGGAAAAGAGTCATATACTTGCCAAGGCTGGTGCCTGTTGGCAAGGTCAACAGTCAGGATGAACGTACTTTCGGACTAGACTTCAGCCCATTGTTGTCTTCAGACTCACACTTGAGGCACATTCCCTCTTTCTACTCAGGTCTTTGGTTCTCTCAGCAGAAAGCCGATCTGCTAGGTCTTTAATTCGTTATTATGATTGAGCTCGAATCATTACCTCTTTTCCAGCAGTATATGCATTACTTGACTGAGGTGTAATTTACAAACTATAAAATGCACAAATGTTAATTGCATAGCTTGATGAATTTTGACCTACTGTGGAAGTCTGACTAGTGGCCCCCACACATGTCAGGCCCTAATCCCCCAGAAGCTACGAATGTTACCTTATATGGCAAAAGGGACTTTGCAGATGTGATTAAATTAAAGATCTTGAAATGGGGAGATTATTCCGGATCATCAGGGTGGACCCTAGGTGTAATCACTAGTCTCTATATAAGTGGGAGGCAGAGGGAGGTAGAAAAAGATTTGACTACAGAGACAGAAGGAAATGCGAGGACTGAAGCCAGGTGCTATGCTGCTGGCTGTGAGGATGGAGAAACGGGCCACGGCCAAGGAACGGACCTTGAGAAGCTGGAAAAGGCGAGGAAACGGGATCTCCCCTGTGGTTTCGAATGCTTGCAAGGTGACTGTCTCGGTTCAGATGCAGCACTGCTGACACCTTGATTTGGGCCCAGTGAGACTGATTTTGGTCCTTTGCAGGTCCTTCCACCCCTCACTCAGCGCACCCTGGAGATATTCCCAAGCAGGCCTTCCAGTTAGGAAGTGAGGACCACACCTCTGAGTGAGCAGGGCGTCTGTTACTCAGCAAGGGGCTGTAGCACACAGAATTGTTTATCGACTCAATAGCCATATCCTCCTTCCTTTTTGTGGGCAGGATCCCCATTTTTTGGTATTGCCTCCTATTCTACTTGGTGTTCTGCTCTTCTAAGCCAGTCATGGTCATTCCCTCCCCCTGTCCAGTGATTGGTTTAATTACAGGCATGATGAGATTCAGCCGCTGAGATGTGAGAGAAGTAAGCCAGGGCGATTCTGAGAAAGCTCTACTAAGTAAGCACACAGGATAGAGGCCTTCATCCCCTACCACTGAACGTTGCCATGTTTGGAGGCAATGCCTGTGCTGCAATAGTCACCTTCTGACCACGGGGGTTGCTTAACAATATGCCGAGGGCTACCGATCAGAAATATGGAAAGAAAACGGATTTTTGTATAACACTGTTGAACTGTTGAACTAGCCAGCTCCGAAGCTGTCCACTCCTGGACTTTGATGCAAGATAATAGATTTCCTCATTTTAAAGTCAGCTGAGTTTGCAGTTTTCTCCTGTTGCAGCGGAAAGCATGCCAGCAGACTTCCGGGTGCTAGACCAGGGCATTGGCTTGGTGGGGGAAGGTGGAAAGGAGACAGATGGATCCCCTGGTACAGAGACATCCCATGCTGCCCTAGGTCCTGAACACGGTGGTACTGATCTCTGCTCTAAAGTTGTTAACAGCCTCGCTGGAGATAAAGAACGGACATTTAAAAGACTGATAGCGCACACTACAGAAAAGGCACCTGAACAAGACTAACGGGTATAATGATATGGAGCCAGTCACATTCCTGTGATTTTGTTAGTAAATTTGGGGGAAAATATCTAGAACATGTGTTATCATAACTTTACTTGGAAGGCTGTGGGAAAGACAGAGGTAAAACCAGGCGTTTGTCCTCCAGGAGCTGTGGGTCTGGTGTGGAAAGAGGTGAACAAAAACACCAGTGAGTATAATTCTCAGCAGTTTGTGGTATGTGCCGTTATTTCAGCAGAAATCAAATGTGATAAGAATGTGAGAGGTGGATTTTGATTAGAGAGAGATCCGTATGTTGGAGTCTCGTTGGTCATTATAATTATTGATACCGTCTAAGTTAAATCATGAGAGTGGATGTTGAGCGAGAGGGAGAGAAACGCGAAGGGGGCAAAGGGAGGAGGAAAAAGGGAGAAGGAGGAAGAGGGAGGGAGAAGGGGGAGGTGAGAAGAGGAGTGGAGCGAGGATATCAGAGTAAACCTTGGGGAAGGGTCCCACTTGGGGAAAGAAGGACAAAAAGGAACCAGGGAAGGAGCCCGAAGGAACACCCAGAGGAAGGGGAGAACTAGAGTAATCCCCAAATCATGGATCCAAAGGTAAGGAAGAGCTCCACAGAAGAGAGCGAGTCTGGACAGCAGCACTGCTCAAGGCACAGATCATTCTTTCCGGGCCCGGATGCCGCGGACGTTAGCGGAAGCTAGCTTCTGGTTGGGGAATGTTGGAACAGGTCTTTTCCTGAGGTAGCCACTGGGTGGCAGTGGTGGCAGCGGCGGCAGCTGTAGCGGAGTCCAGGGACTGGCAGAAATCTAGGAGAGCTAAGTAAGCCAGGTACCGCAGAGCCGAGCTAAGCCAGTTCCAAGTAGTGGGAGCCAGAAGCTGGCTCAGCCCAGGGCTTCCCTAGTGTAGTGGGCATTGGACTGTCCCCTCGGGTGTACATCAGTCTTCAAATCACACTTGTCCTCCTCTGAAGAGGCCAGCTTCGTCCTACGGAGCAAAGTAATCATCAAAATACTTTATGGTTTACAAAGTGCTTTCATACCAATTAACTAATTCTCTATGCAGGAAACCCTGAAAGGTTAGTATTATTACAGTGGAACCTCTGTTCTCAAACTTAATTTGTTCCAGAAAACTTCGAGGAGCAATTTGTTCGAAAACAGAATCTCCCTTGTCTTCTGAGAGACTCCTACGTGGCCGATCATACAAGTATCGGCAAGAAAGGGTCATCAGGTAGAGAATCGAGCCCCAAAGTTCTGTTAGACAACCGAGACATTTTTTTCTGTGAACAACCCAGTCGAGAACCAAATTGTTTGAGAACCAAGATGTTCGAGAACTGAGGTTTGACTGTATCCCCCATTTCACTGGTGAGGAAGCTTGAGTTACAAAGTGGTGTCCAGGATCACACGGCTCAGAATAAGAATATGGATTCAACCAGGTCCGGCTCCAAACACATGGGCCTTTTATGCAGTATCACAGCTCTCAGGGCGCAGGCTGTGACCGCTTCCAAGCCTGCCTTCATCTGTCCCCCACCCTCCCACAGGGCCAGGGTCTCCAGGTTTCCCCCATCCATGTTTCTGGGCCTTCTAGATGCTTTAGATTCTAGATTCTACAGCTTCCCAGCAGGACTGCCTCCTCCTCTCCCTCCCAGGATCCAGCTGGACGGCATTCTAGGGACCTGAAGATCAGGTTCCGAGTCCCCATTGTTCGCCAACTCCCTTCAGAGTGGATTCTGCTCCAGCCTGCTCCCCCTCCCCAAACAGGCCCGGAGCTTGCTTCCTGGGCCTCAAACCTCCATAATCAGGAAGGCTTAGCGAGACCCAGAAACCCCAGGCCCAGAACTGCTGGCAATCGGACGTTCCTGGGCACTTGGCTCTCAAACATCTAGGCTCCCTAGGTCTCTCTGTTTTCTCTGCTGTATTCACACCAGGGTCACCTGTAGTGCTGGAGACAGATGGGGTGGTGTGTAGGAAAGGGTGGAGTCTGTACGGGAAGCTTGTTGACTCGCATACTTGGAAAGGAGTGACCTGTCTCCTTGCTGCCTCCATGCCATCTCCTCTGACATGTAATAATAAACATCTCAGAATATTGACAGGCTGAACATTGAATTCCTGACTTTTTTTAAAAGATCTTATTTATTTATTTTTAGAGAGGGGAAGGGAGGGAGAAAGAGGGAGAGAAACATTAATGTCTGGTTGCCTCTCGAGCGCCCCCTACTGGGGACTTGGCCCATAACCCAGGCATGGGCGCTGACTGGGAATCAAACCGGTGACCCTTTGGTTTGCAGGCTGGCACTCCATCCACTGAGCCACACCAGCCAGGGCTGAACTCCTGATCTTGCCTCCAACCTGCTCCTCTCACAGCTGTCCCTATCTCTGTCAACAGTAACTCCATTCTTCCAGTTGCTCAGTTGAGAAAACTTGCAGACATTCTGGACTCATCCCTTTTTCCCCTGGCCCATATCATGACATCTGGTCTTTGCTTTGCAAATCTAGCCAGAATCTGGGCACTTCTCACCACCTCTGGCAGCCTGGTCCACCATCATTTCTATGGGCGACAGCCTTTGAACTGGTTTCCCCCTGCGCCCCGAAGCCCTGTAGTCTATGCTCAACCTACAGCTAGCCAGTGATCATTTTGGAATGTAAATCAACTCCCAACACTTGTCTCCTCTAAAGCCAACATGGCTTCCCAGTACCTGAAAGTAAAAGCCAAGGAGTCCTCAGCATGGCTTCCAAGGACCTTCGTGATCTGGTCCCTGCCAAACTCTCTGACCTCATTTCTACGTTGTACCTTCCTCACAACCACCTTGTCTTGACTCAAGCATCACCCTAATACTTAGGACAGCAATCTCTCTTTCCTGCTCGTTCTCCTTCTGGATTCCCCTTTCCTCCTTTATTTTTCACCATAATAGTGATCAAAATCTATCTATTTTACTTGTTAATTTTATCTTTTCTCACCCACTCTTATGTGAGCCCCACCAGAGTTGGAGTCTTTGTCTGCTTTGCTCATTATTTGTGAACTCCCAGTGCCTAGTGTTGGACCAAGGACAGAGTTCTCTCTGAGGAAATATTTGCTTGTCCCTCCCTGGTTTATGGTCAGTGGCTTAGAGAGGCAACCAAACATAGCAATCAAGTACATGGACGCTGGAGGTTTCTTCAAGGGCAGGTCTTCTTGGGTTCAAATCTTGGCTCTACCACTATTGAGCAAAACATTTAAACTCTCTGTGCCTTAGTTTTCTCATCTGCAAAGTAGGGACAATAACATTACCTACTTTGATAGAGAGCCTGGGGGCCATTAATAAGTGTAAAGCACTTAATGCCTTGCACAGAGTAGGTGTGAAATAAGCATTTGTTATAATCATACGCACATGGAGTTAAAATTTATACGAGTAGTTCACATTTTCCAAAATCTTTCAATGTGTTTCCTTGCACTTGCCCGTGTTAACATCTATTTCCCATGTTCCAGCTCACTTACACAGATTATGTAATTGCCCTGTAGTTTTATTGTGTCTTCTAGTCCTCCAGTGGCCTGGCTCTTCATCTGTGTAAACTTAGACATTTCTTGTGTACTCTCTCCTACAGCCATATAGAAGTTGTTAAGTAGTAATTGTGCTGGGCCCCTTTCGCAATCTGTACAGTGAGTGGGTTGGACTAGATAATCTTCATGGGCCTTGCTTGCTCTGACAGTCTCCCAGGACAGGAGGAGGGACGGGCCCCACCCCAGCCCCGCCCCCACGGATATGCCCACTGGTTGCAGAGGGAAAGGGTGACAGAGTCAGCTGGGCTCAGCTTCAAGGGGACCAGGTAGGAGACCTGCCAAGTTTCTTGGGTAAGAGTGGTGATGGGGTTTCTGGGCTAGATCAGCTATCAGAAGTAACTGGAGTAAGAAGGCATGGGGAGCAGGGGGAGAGGGGAGGGGAAGTCACTTAATGGAGAGATGCTCTCTTCACAGGGACACAGCTGCCGTGAGGAGCTAGGAGACAATTAGGTTCTGGGCATCTTCTCACATTGGAAAGTGCTGGTAGGCCTCTACCCCCCTCAGCTAGCCAAGCTCTGAAAGACAGAATCAGCTGCAGAAGGAGAAAAACCCAAACCACTGCCTGCTACCCACTACTCCCCTGGCTGGACCAAGGGAGCGCAGGTAGGGGCCCGGCTGGCCTGGGTTGCAAATAGGTTTACTTCTCTCAGCTCGGCTCCCACTAATGCTTCAACCATTGCCTTCCCCGCTCTTTGTTTTGTTTTGTTTTGTTTTGTTTTGTTTTGTTTTTGCCTCAAGTCAGGGCTGGGGCTGGGGTGGGGTGGAGGCAGCGAAATCCAGTGCCCTCACTTCTGCCTTTTTCACCTCTAGGGGGGACCATGGCCAGTACAGAATCCTCACTGCTCACAACCCCAGGCCCCAGCTCAGATCCTGGCAACAGTGAGGTGGACTGCTGGTTTGATGAGGAGTTCAAGTTCATTCTGCTGCCTGTGAGCTATGCGGTCGTCTTCGTGCTGGGTCTAGGCCTTAATGCGCCGACTCTCTGGCTTTTCGTCTTTCACCTCCGACCCTGGGATGCAACGGCCACTTATATGTTCCACTTGGCCTTGTCAGACACTTTGTACGTGTTGTCGCTACCTACCCTCATCTACTATTACGCGGCCCGCAACCACTGGCCCTTCAGCACTGAGCTCTGCAAGTTCGTCCGCTTCCTTTTCTACTGGAACCTCTACTGCAGTGTGCTTTTCCTCACCTGCATCAGTGTGCACCGCTACCTGGGCATCTGCCACCCACTGCGGGCACTGCGCTGGGGCCGCCCGCGCCTTGCCAGCCTTCTTTGCCTGGCCGTTTGGTTGGTTGTTGCCAGCTGCCTTGTGCCCAACCTGTTCTTTGTCACAACCAGCTTCAACGGACATACCATACTGTGCCATGACACTACTCGGCCTGAGCATTTTCACCACTATGTCCACTTCAGCTCAGTAATCATGGTGCTGCTCTTCGGTGTGCCCTGCCTGGTCACTCTTGTCTGCTATGGGCTCATGGCCCGGCGCCTGTATCGGCCTTTGCCAGGAGCCGCCCAGTCGTCTTCTCGTCTGCGTACTCTCCGCACCATTGTGGTGGTGCTGATTGTCTTCGCTGTCTGCTTCGTTCCTTTCCACATCACCCGCACCATTTATTACATGGCGAGGCTATTGGAAGCTGATTGCCGGGTGCTGAACATTGTCAACGTGGCCTACAAAGTGACCCGGCCTCTGGCCAGTGCCAATAGCTGCCTGGATCCTGTGCTCTACCTGCTCACTGGGGACAAGTATCGAAGGCAGCTCGGGAAGCTCTGCAGTAGTGGCACCCCCCAGCCCCCCAAAGCTTCCGGCTCCCTGGCGCTGGTGTCCCTGCCTGAGGAGAGCAGCTGCAGGTGGACAGTCGCCCCCCAGGACAGTGGCTGCCCTACCCCTAGGGAAGATAGATTGTAACACTGGAAGCCTGGAAGGGAGAGAAAAGGGGGTGAGTGCAGGGCGGAGGTGAGGGATCCTAATGGTCACACCCGATATGGCTGCTTCCTCCTCTTTCCAGGCTTTGGTGAGAGACCTTTCCCCTGAGGGTTAGGGGGAGCCAAGAAAATCACGTGTGACCCCATCTCTCATAAATCCTTCAGATGCCTCTACTTTTTAGCCAAAGGGAGTAGGTAGCAGCCACTCCTCCTCCTCTACTTCTTCCTCTTTGTTTCTGCCCCATTCCTGGGGCCGCTGGTTTTACTTCTCAATCCTACGAGGCTTCCTGGAAAGCTTCCCTGGGCCTCCTTCCTCCTCCTTCCCCCCCACCTCCTAGCAGAGCATGTGTTCTCCAGCCAGACCAGAGCATTTGCCTGAAGGAATGGAGAAGCTGGAGTAATCTCAGGACCAGCCTTGCTCATCTGATGGAGACAGCTGGAGTCGGGAGGCAGGGGCACCGGCATGTCACAAATGCCAAGGATGGGACATATGTAGCACCCACACCCACTTTCTGGTTTCCCCTTGAAGACAGGATAGCCTGGCCTGCTGAGGCGTTGAAATAGGGCACAATCCCAGAAAGCCCATGCACCAGGGCCACCATGTGCAGCTGGAGGCATGACACTGTTGAACTGGTGTGTAGCTACTACATAGAGAGGGAGCCCTGAGTCTCACCATAGGCTGGGGACTCTGAAGAGCCTTGGGACAGGGCCTAAGCTAATAAGGGCCTTTGGAACAGGAATGGGAAAGCACCTCCTTTATGATGTTTGCTCAGAACATATTTGACAGTTCTTCTGTATGTAATGAAAGGAAGAGGGGATGGTTCAGAATGAGAGGGAGGAGCCCTCAAGGCTGTAAGTTCCAGCATCAAGGGGTAGAGCAGGTTTGTGCAGAGGTTGGGGGTGGTGACAGGGATCAACGCCCGAGCTGGCTCTTCACTGGTCTCTCCCCTTTCTGTAGCTCCTGCCCTAGATAAAGAATAAATCTGTCACTGGCTCTTTCAGATCAGGCTTCAGGGTTTTGAGGCACTGGCACCAGAATAGGTCCCCTCTGAGTCTCTCATCCGTTACCCACCCCCTCCCAACTCCATCTTAGTTCTTACGGGCTTGTGAATCTGAGGTATGATATGGAACTTGGGGTGATAATTCCCATGCCTTGGGAAGTAAGAGTTTCTGGGTAGGCCTTTGCAAGAAATGTGGGCTCACACTTCTAGGCACCCCCTTCTGAAATCACCTTCCAGACCAATGGCCTCCAGAGTCTTCAGCCTTCCTTTTGTTTTGCCCCACGCTTTTTGACCTGTCTCTGATCTCTTACTTTGTATTAGCTTACTATGCCTTACTAAGTCTCTCTGGAGAGTAAGGTTAGGACCAGTCTGCCAGATATGGGGGAGCGGGGAGGAATGAGTTCAATGCCCGAGTCCCCCTTTGCGTTCTTTTAGTGAGCCCTCTTCCCCCTAGATATCCAGGACCTGCCTGCTCCCCGGGATCCCTTCTTTTCAGAGTAAATGAACTGGCCTTCTTACTAGTCTCCCAGTGTCACCGCCGCTGCCTAAACTGTTACACATCCTGTTCCTAATCTATGACTTGCTCCCTTTTATTCCTATGATCACAGCCTCCTTGCCCATCTTCTCTCCTACCTACAAGCCCCACCTAGGAAAGCTGCTCTCTGCATTACAACGGACCCAGCCTCCCATATGCTAAACCGAGACTAACTGCCCAGGCTTTGTAGTCTGCTACTTTAGGGCTGCCTTCCCTCTCACACTAACTTTAGTTAAACACCTTGATTTTCCCCTTGGGCCCATCTTCTCCACTCTCTAGACTCGAGGGGACTGCAGATAAAGCCAGAACACAAGGATGGCTTGACCCACTGAAACATCTTGTCTTGGGACTTCATCTAAGCCCCCATCCCTCTTAGCCTGCTGAGTTCCTAGTGAATATTCCAGAGTGACTGTTTGCCCCAATTTCATCCTACCTCACAATCTCTTAAGATTTACCTCGTCTCCTGCAAATCTGAAAAGATCAAATACCTCAACTTCCTTCTGCTTCATTTACACTAACACTACTTCCATATTCATCTTGCCTTTCTCCCTTCCCTCCCTGCAGCCCCAGAAGAAGAGGGGGCCCTCTTGTTTGCTCTTTCATTTATCTTTCTTCATCATTGTCAGTCTCTTACGTAATTGATTTCATCCCCTCTTCACACACACACACCCCCGAAACCAAACAAACAAAAATAAAGCGTTACCACTGATACTTTGACCTCTGCTGACTTCCTTAGCTACCATTCTATTCATCTTAATCATTTCACTGTCATTCCCAGGAAAAGCACCATAACTCTTTATTCCTCACCACAAAGTCACCCCTTAACTCTCCTAATCTGGTTTCCTTCCTCTGCTTTTTTGTACCTAAAAGAACACAAATTACCTCATAAGCAAAACTTTCAGTGATCTTTTCTTTAGCTTTATTGCCTTTGACTTCCATAGGTTGTCCCTGTTGCATATCCTCTTTAAAATTTTTTTATGAAAGCAACACTAAAAAAGTTTCACTCTGACAAATTAAAGGAAATTTTAGGAGAAAATAATCGCCTATACTTTCAAACCCTAGACAATTGTTTCCCTTTTCTCATGTTCCATTCCTTTTCTGTTTGTATATTACACATACATGTATTTTATATAAGTGTAGACATTGTGTACTTATATTTTTAAATTCTGCAAAAATATTTTATCATAAATACTCTCTTTGTGTTACAGTCTTTCATATTTATCATTTTAGTGGCTTCATGAAATTACATCTATCAGCAGATTATATTTTATTCAACTATTCCCTTATTATTGGGCATTTAGGTGACTCCCAATTCTTCTATCCTTTGAATATCTTAATGCATATGGCTTTTTTCCTCTTTGTAATTCTGTTCCTAGGACAAGTTCCCAGGAGTGGGATTACCAGATCAAAGAGCATGAACATTTTTTATGGATCTTGATCTTCAAGAGGACTGCACAAATTTGAAATGCCACAATGACACATGAGTGTTCCGGTTCCCTTGTCGCTCTAGCATTGGACTGGATAAGAAATCTTATTGGATGGTTTAAACATTAATTTGTTAACTTCATGTCTTTGGCTACTCACGGGATTGAACACTCTCCCGTATGTTTACGATTTACATTTCCTCTTGTGTTAACTGTTCATATCTTTCTTCAACTGGCATCTTTGTGGTATTCTTATATGTTTAAATATCTTCTTTAACATACATACTAACCCGATATAAATATTTCTTCCGTTTATCGTGGTACTTTTTATTTTAGTTTCTCATTTTATGCCCCTGATTAAAAATTTTTCTCTTCTGACTTTTATCTCTGTCATCACTTCCTCTCTCTTTGCTGATTTCTCTTTATCTTTTACTCCCTAAAGTGAACAGAATTCCAAGTTCTGTCATAGTTAGAGCATTTGGAAGTTATTTAATCCTCTCTCCCATCTGGCTCTTGATTTTCTCTTGGAGAGAACATATATACATGTGAGTACAATTCAGTTGACTCATTATCCTTGAGAGTACCTCAGAAATCTTCTAGGGTCTGGGAGCCCTAGAGGACAAAACAAACCCAGAGGACAAAACAAACCCAGAGATATGACTTGCCTGTGACTTAACAAATTAGTGACAGAGCAGGAACTAAGGCTCAGGTCCCCTGAATCCCAGAGATCCTTCCATTACACCATGTTCTAGGCCGAACTTCCTCCCAAACTCCACTTCCATATCATCAATTGCCCGCTGGACAGTTTCACTTGGATTTTCCATTGTTATTTCCAACCCGAGGTGTAAAAACTAAACTCCCTGAACCAGTTTCCCTACCTGTTTTGCTTATATATGTTCATGGCGTATTCTTTCCTCAAGTCACCTAAGCTTGCAAACTCTCAGGCAACTCGAACTCTTCTTCCTCCCTGTTTCATGAGATTCTGCATTTCTTTCTTCATCATGTCAATTACAATTGGCCTTCCTTGATGAGCCCACCACTACCATGCTAATACTAGCTCTTGTCACTTTATCCTTAACTGACTGTCCCAGCCTCCTAACTGGCCTTCCTGACTTCCAGTCTCTCTTCACAGGAACGCATTCTATACAATGCATATTGCCAAATTCATTGGCCCCAACACTGATCTCACAGTTTTGCTTTATTACTCAAAACTCTTTCATGGGTCCCCCACGTCTACAGGACAAGGTGAAATTCTTCAGTTAGATATTCAAGAGGGCCTTTTCAGTCTTATTTTCCATTCTTCCTTAATACAAATGTCTCTTCTTCAGCTCATTTCATCTTCTCATTCTTTCTCCAAAGAAGACTTGTGTTTTCTCACCTCTGCACCTTTCTTCTTTTCTCCTCCTTGTCACAGAATACCTTCCCTTTCTTCTCCCACTGTCTTTTTCCTACTTTGTTTCCAAGGCCAGGCTTAAGTCCCACTTCCTCTCTGAGTCCCTCTCTGTAGACTCTCACCTTTCACCCAGTGAACTTTCTGATCACTCCTGTGGTTATTCTGATCTACATTAGTCATTTGGCACCTTTATTGTCTTTTGCTATTACTTTTTCTATTATATTGAATTGCTATTTACCCGTATTTTTCCATGTATAACATGCAGGTTTTTGCCCAGATTTTTTAGGGAAAAACAAGGATGTGCATTATACATGGGTAGTACCTGAAAAGCTTTGTATGTTTTTGTGTTTTGTAATTATGTGTTACATAAAATTTCTTGTACCATATGTTCAAAAATGCTAAAATTCCTTTATAATACAAAAAACCAAGTATCTAAATATAAATAAATTTAAAATTGAACTAAAAAATTAAAACAAAAGAGTTTTTTCCTGAAAGTTTGGGCCAAAAACATGGGTGCACATTGTACACAGGAGCACATTATACATGGCAAAATACAGTAACACTTTGTGTATGTTTGTTTGAGTTCCCACCTGTAAACCCCTTGGGTTACTGTGGTAGAAAGGAAAGAGC